CTTTTTTTCTGCCAGGCTTTGGTGCTATGGGAAGTGCAGTGGATTTTTTTAAGAGTGCCAAAATCTGGGAAGAGTTCATTTGGAAAATTGCTTAGCAGATTGCAAATGGTGAATATATTATTGCAAAAGGGAAATTTTGAAACACCTCTGGTGGTAAATTTTCACCTAAGGAAATACAGAATATACAACATCATGCTCATGAAAACTAAGGAAATACTTGCCTGTAAGTCATGTGAGGGAATTAGGATTTCTCTTCTTCTTTATTATTTTCATTCTAAATTTATATGTAAAATTATCTTCCACCATTTCCTTTCTACACTAAAGATGTAATTTCATGTAACTTTATCAGTAATTAAGCTATGTATTTCAACCTTTTTTTTATGTTTCCTGGCTGGGTCCTGCTATTGCGGGTTTGTCCAGGACAGTTGACTATGATGAGCATTTGTAAAACTTGGCTTTGATATGGATGCAAGGAAAAGGTTTTGGTATCACCTCTAAGCAACAAAGAATCTGGCAAGAACATACTTCATTGTTGTGAACTCAGCTGGCTTGGAGAGGTGTCTTTGACTCTGTTGTTGTCATTTCATGGAAAGAACACCCCTCAGTGAACACAGCTCTCTCTCAGTGTATACGGCTTGCTCTTATAAAAGTTGCCATTAACCTGAGATATATGCTGTACATTTCCAGGAATGTTGCTCAGCTGATTTATTGACATGGTTTTTCTCATCCTCAGGTTCTTGCTCTGGCTTTCTTTCTCTTTTTCCTTTTATCTTTTTTTCTCTTTTTCCCTTCTTTTGCTTGCTCTGCTTTCATTTTTTTCTTGCAAAAGTATTTATAGGACTAGAGATGTACTAGAGATGAAGATCTATGATTCTGCAACACTGAAGGTTAAATGCAAAATCCAGTGGTTATCCCTATTAACTGAACCATATGCCCTAGCACCTGTGCCTTTTACAGGTTCTAGAGGAAGGAAATCTTCTTCCAAGCAATATACAGCATTGATTAGCAACAATTTCTACCTTATATAGCACAGGATGGGTTAGCTGTATTCCCAGCACTGAACTTCTTATTGATGGTAGGCTCCTTGGTGACTCTTTTTCTGGGGATCACAAAGTAAATGTGCTCTTTGTTCAAGCGTGATTCTTCATTAGAGTTGCTCTGTATATAGGGCAGAAGGGGAAGGTTTAGCTTTGAATAGCAGCTAGGGATGGTTAAGTCTTAAAAGGTATGGAGATTCAATTCAATTTTAGTCAACATTTAGCTACATAGAAGCTGTCCTAATTGTCTCTCACCCACTTTTTAAAAGACTTTTTAATTATACGGTCAATATCAGTATCTTCAGATTCCTTTTGATACCGATTTGCTTCAAAGTTTTGGGAGAAGACATGAGTATTGCAGCAGCTTCCCCTTCTAACCAAGGAGCAGCCTGCTTGAATATCATCTTAACACTAATGCTCAAGACATTTACAAATAATTGTATCGGTTTGGAGCTAATATCAAGGCTAGGTTGGATGGGGCCCTGAGCAACCTGGTTCAATGCCCACAGCAGGGGGACAGTAACTAGATTATTAAGATCTGTTCCACCCCAAACAATTCTATGATTCTATGATGATTAGCACCTCAAGGTCTACTCAGACAAACAGCTGGTTTGGAAAGAATTGCTTTTCCTTTTGAAATCTTTAGAAGTATCACTCTGAAATGAAGTGCAAAAATAGGAGCATTATCCTATAGTAACCAGTAGCCACTTCAATGCAAGTTGAAGTCCTGAGTTTCCTTTAAGTATATGAGATTCTGCAGTCTCCTGTATCTGAACAGTTGCAGTGCCATGATTTTTAAGCCATTGACCATTCTGAGGTCTTTATCAGTAAGATAAGATTTGTGTTTTGCTTCTAAGATTTTTTTCCCAAAGAAATCTCCTACTGATAGGGTCAAGTTTCCCATCAGATGTTTGAGCTTTGATGAATCAAACTCTAAAAAAAATAAAAGTGGAAAATATGTTTTCTCAAATTTTCTCTCTCTCTAGTCCAAAAGTCTCAGCTAGCTGTGAGGAAGCTGTGAATTTGTTTTACATCAGAAATATTGCTAATCAGTATTGTGGACACCTTGTCTTGTGTGTGATTCATAGAATGCAGAAGTGAAAAGGTGGAAACTCCATCAGTAGAGGAAATTTAATGGAGAATAGAATATAGGTATGATTTTTCTTACTTAGAGACAATATTTGGAAGTCTGGAGAATATCTAAAGTATTCCAAGAAAATTGGTACAGTGATCCTCTAGGGAAAGGAGGTAGTCTTTATTTTGAATGGCACTACAGCTTTTATTTCAGCATGGAGACTTTAGTTCACTGCAGAGAGTCTGATAATGGGATCCTGTTGCAAATTGGAAACTGTCTCTTAAATTGGATGGTTAGAAAAGACATAATTAAAGTTCTCACTCGGTGGTTTTACACATGGTTCCTACTTGTCTGCCTGTGTTTTCAGGTGATTTGAGGACCAAGTGTGAATCTGAGTGGAGGTGTCAGTGAGACATGAACCATACTGTATTGCTTATCTCTGAAATCTTGAAACTAGCCTTTTATTTCTGTCTAAATCTGTCACTGGAAGCAGTAGGTAATAAGCAGCACTTGGAAGGGTTGCGTGCATGTACGACAGCCCTCTGAAAGGAGACAAAAGGCGGTGCAGCCTGAGCACTTGTTTCCTTCCAGAAGAGGGACTTGGGAGCTTATAAATCAGCATCCCTTGTGCTGCTCCAGGAGCTGAGTTATGATTTGCAGGCTTTTTAATGAACAGTGCTTCCTGACTAGTTCTGGCTTATTCTTCTGAGTGTGTTTTTTTGGGGGTATTACTATCCAAGGGTGTTAGCACTCTTCAGCATAACAAAGCAGGACTTGCAGTGCTAAGATAAGGGTCATGTTTGGAAGCATGGTTCTTCAAAGCCCACCCCCCTCACTCCCCCAGTTTTGAATTACCATTTTGTTTTATCAGAAATTAAACTGGGATTTAAATTATATGTGAATATGAAGTGTTTAGTAAAAGTTAGAACAAAGAAAGATAATCTGTGTAAGTTTAGCAATATGCTTTCAGTCATTTAAATGGTATTTGTGAAAAAAGCCCAACTTGGCTATATTTGGCTGAAAACTCTTTTTAAGGTTGGAGTCAGGGTTGATTTTTCCAAAAGCTTGGTGGTTGAAGCATTCATCTGCAATGCAGAAAATATAGATAAAATACCCACTCTGAGAGGCTTTAAATCCAAGTATCCCTACCTTGAATCAGATGCTAAGAGGATTGAATTCAATTTACACCCAGGTCAGGTAAGAAGCTTAACCCAACTGATGGCAATGTATCTGGCAACTGACCTACAAACCCCATTTTGGCATATATTATCAGCATGCAGAGCTGCAGTATTTTTTGTGTCCATATGGGTTTTCCAGCAATATAGCACCTGTATTCTGGACTCCGCTCTAGTCCTTGCTGTCATCTTCTCCATCAACAAACACATCCTAAAGTTGTCTGGCTTCCCTTTTTCCCATTTTTTCAACTGAGATGTGTGCATGAGGTAGCTGTGACTTAATACAGTATCATGATGTATACCCAGATTTGGTGTTACATTACTAGCAAGATCCTATCACCTACCTGTGTGTCTGGGTTAATGGGAGCATTTGACACCATGGTTTCTGAGGTGGGCAAGATGTGCAACAATGATACTGTCCTGTTTTACTTATTTATAAATACATTTATTTATTCAGTCTCAGGTTAGAGCCTGTTTTCAGCTCTATATAGTCATACTGATGTGAAGGATCTATTTGAGAAATAAGGACTGGTACTGAAGAAGGTCCTTAAATTCTGACCTGGCTGTGTTATCACAATATCAGAAAAGAATGGATCTTTGTGTTGGTTTTCAAAATACCTTTTTCTTTGTGGTGATTACAGTAGTCCTTTAGAAATGTGCTTGTGGTCTTTTCTGGAATACCAGAATTCCTACTTCTGTTTTTCTCTTCTTCCACCTCCTGGGGTGACCTGTTTTATGTATGGCAACCACGCCATCCCTCCAAAAGCAGCCTTAATATAGACAGCTGGAGGGAACCAGCCATGAAAGAGGAGCTATCAGCTCCCCTCAGAGGGACCATACATACTGTCACTCTCAGCCTTGGAACTAAAGGATTAGTTTCAGATCTGAGTTTTTTATTGACATGATGTAGATATCAATAATATTAGATGGAAAGAGACTAGAGTAACACTTCAGGCATCTGGGTTTTTCTCCTGAGTCAAACATTTATTTGCAACGTGGCTTTGGACAAATTCACTGTGCTTTGTGTTCCTCCTTTTGAAAACAGAAATAATTCTGCTTTTCTAGATATAATTCTGCTGATTAGAAGGACATGCTATATAAAAGTTTGGCATTATTATATATTTGTTTGTTATTGTTCTGTCTTCTAGCCAGGATGGCAGAGGAATTGTGCTTTTCAATACCATTTGTGCTGTGCTAAATTTACAGATTTGTGCTGTTTCCATTTCTGTGTCATATTCTGCTCTCATGTTCCCCTGAATAGTGAGAGAGATAACTGGGATGTGATAAGGTATGTAAAGGAAGAAATACACCCAGGAGGAAAGGGCAGAATTTTGCATGCTGGATATTTTGGAATACAGGGGAAGATGGCAAACACCCCCAGTGTTTGGGTTCAGCTTGCAAGTCAGTCTGAGTAGGCAACTTAAATGGGAAGTGGGAGACCAGTGGGAAGCATGAGGGCCACAAGCCTTGGTGTCCCCAAAGGACTCTTTTCTCAAACGGTTTCTCACCACTTCATTATAAACCTGTTTCCTTTGTGTAGAGGGTTTTGTTTATTTCTTTTTTTTCCTGGTAGTTTCTGATGATGTTATTTTGGGATGACCAAATATGCATTTACCATCATTAGTGGCTTCTTCTCATGTTATTTGTTTCATGTTCAGGGCAACAAGATTAGCAACCAGATTGTAAAATAATGAGCTACCTTGTGTATTTCAGAAACATACCCCTCGCAATATGCATTTCAATGATTATCGTCACAGTTGGCTATGTGTTAACAAACGTGGCTTATTTCACTACAATCAGTGCTGGGGAATTGCTGCTTTCAAAAGCTGTAGCAGTGGTAAGTTACAGAAGAAAAATACAAAGATATATTCCTGCTGCAGTTATGTTTGTTGATATTATTCTTATTTTCAGGGGGAAAAAAGATTGGGTGAACAGATGCAGTCAGGTTTTAGTATGGCAGCACTCACTAGCATTCCAGTGAAATTTGATTTTTGATGAGTGGGATTGCACTTCAGGCCATTTATAATGTAACTTCAGACTATATTTATTTACCTCTTGCAACAAAGTCAATAGGAGTTACATTTCATAGCCAAGTACATGGTTGAAAAATTCAGTGCTAAATTTTAAGTTCAGCTCCAGAGAAGCAGGAATTGCAGATATTATGGAAGAGAGAGCTCTGAACTATCTTGTGTAGCAGCATACAGTAACTTTGTTTCTGCACAGTGTGTGTCCTGAGTGCTTGGAAGGGGGCTGCTGTGAATACTAGAGCTCATTTGGGAAGAAATTGCAAGGCAACCTGACTAGGAAATACTGCTTTGATTGTTCTCGCTGAATTGTGGTGATTACACCGATTTTTATATTTGTAGTATCTGAGTCACAATGAGGAAATGAATAATTCCATTTCTTTTCCAGTAGTGATACTGCCTGTGTTTATTTCAATTGACGTGAGTTTTAAAAAATGACCAAATTCTGTAGCTTACAGGAGGTCTAGAAAGAAAGCATGTTATAAATGTGACAAAAATTATGCATGTTGCATGTAGTGCCCCAAACTCCAGTTAAGGCTCTTCTGCTAACCTAAAGCACTAAAGCCTGAATGGATGTACTATACCACTGAGTCATACCAGCTGAGTGCAATGAAGGCTGTAGATGAAAGGTATGTGTGCAGATCAGACCTTGATCCATTCAGACTTGGTCTTCTTTGGAGCCATAATGGTCTAAATTGACATGAGTCAGGGCCTGATTCCACCTCCTCATCACTGCTTCAACTGGAGATCTTTCACATGCCATCAGGGATAAGGGTAGGACAGCTCAGCTGTACTAGCTGTGCTCTCACAGAAGAGGCAACATATGCACAATTTTCATCAAGGGATGCAGAGAAGGAGTATAACTAACACCATGATAATTTGTTAATAGAGGACAATTCTCTTCCCATTTTATGAAAAATCATTGTGTGTTTTTCTCTTTTTTCTAACAGACCTTTGCTGAACGACTAATGGGAAACTTTTCTTTAGCTGTACCAGTGTTTGTTGCTCTCTCCTGCTTTGGATCTATGAATGGTGGCATTTTTGCAGTCTCCAGGTGAGCACTGCTGATGTTCCTGGGGGTGAGGGCTTGGGAGACATACTGAAAGTATGGAAGCAAGGGGAAGGGAGAGTAGGATTCATTTCTTTAGCAGGATATGATAAATGACTACACTGTTTACCAGGTGTAGGCATTTTTCTCGTTTTTTTTTTAAATCCTTTGAATGGTTTGGAAATTAATCTCTCTGAGGCTAGCCCTTAATCAGTGGCTGCTTTTTTTCATGTAAAGGAGGAAAACTGAAGGGAAGATATTAACTCTTTCCAAATCAAAGGACACCTTCAGAGATTATTTTGATTTCTCTGTTTGAGAAACAAGACTAAGAAGAGCTGCTCTGCTCTGTGACTTTCATGAGCCACTTTGCATACTCATGGTAATGAGTACTTTTAAAGTCTGTCCACATTTATTTCCTACCAGGATGTTCTTCGTTGCATCCCGTGAGGGTCACCTTCCAGAAATTCTCTCCATGATTCATGTCCGCAAGCACACTCCTCTGCCAGCTGTCACTGTTTTGGTAAATCATACAAAGAAATGTTCCTGCACTAGAATTCATATGATAGGCTTTCTCTGGAGGATTCAAACAGAATTTGGGCACTGCTTGAGTCTCATTTATTAATGTGAACATGGGCTTTGGGCAGGACGGAGGACAGGAGAAAGAGGAATGAGATTTGGGAGTTGTTCTTATTGTATCATCTCCTTGCTTTCTTGCCTATCACTGCAATCTAATTCATATCTTACTGCTTTGGATTTCTAAGGACCTGCTAGTGATGAGCTAGTTCCCTTTCAGAGAGACAAATTACAGTTAAACAAACAAAAAAGGGATTAAGTTAACTGAAAGTTGAACTAAACACTAGCGTCTGGGAGCACCCTAAAGGCTCATTATACTACCTTAGAGTGACAAATGCAGACAGTTTTGCACTCAGATAGTGGAGAGGGAACCCTCAGCTGTCCAGCATTGTGGTGATTAAAAAATAAGAGAACATGTGCCTGGGAAATAGTCTGTGGCTGTTCTAGGAAAAAACACTGGTGCTTTAGTGGAAATACTATTACTGACTTCTAAAATAAGTAGCAAAGGTAAATGTTAGCCATGTATTAGCTTTGCAGACTAATTTGTATGGTAAAATGTTAGGACTAAATGTCAAAATATCAACTTTAAAGTTCAGTTTTATAGTGCGAGGAAGATTCTCACTTAACTTGCAGTCTTCATAGCCATGGGTGTTCAGCCCCTCTTTTGGGATCAATGACTGCAGTGTATCTGGATAGGCCTCTGCCATATTTGGGGACTTACAGCCAAAGCAAAAGATGCACCTATGAGTCTATGCTAGTAAGAGCAAATGCTTGTGGAATCTGAATCAGTTTTTGCTATTGATGCCTGTAAGCTCACTACTGAGTTGTTGAATTTTATATGTACACATACAACTATAGGCTTTGAGATTTTGAAAATTAGGCAGTGTGATTATGGTGACAAGTTTTAATGAAATCAATTTCCCATAAACATTTAGTTTTAATTTATTTCTTTGGGTGCAGTCATACCTTGTGAGTTAATTGCATTGACTATTTTTTGTGGAATGAAATGCACAAAATGTATTAATACATTATTTTTTACTGACAGACGTTTTCTGCTATGCATATGGTCCTGTTACACCAGTGCATTGATTTCCTTTGAAAAAGTCAGATTCTTATATGAAGATGGCTTTCCTTCAAAGATTGCAATGTTTTAGCTAACCTTATTGCAAATAGAGCAGTGGCAGGATATAATCTATATCAATAGTGATTTTAGCATTTCCCCTTTTTTATTTCTCCTTCCAAGTTCTGCACACTGTAAGAAAGGAAAGAGCTCTTCAGTATAAATTGAGAAAACAAGCATGTGTTTGAAACTTGCTAAATTAAAAAACTACATCTTTTTTTGAAATTAAGAAATTTGTTTATGTGTGTATGTTCCTAGAGAAATTTCCCAGTCTGACCATTCACGAGACTTCCTGGCAATCACATGCCCAATGCCAGATCACTGCTGGGACCATAGCCCCTTCACAGTGGTGGCTCTGGTGACTCGATGGGTTACCGCTGGACTCCTGCACATCCTACTCACAGGCCTGGTTTCCCCACTGCTTCAGCCCTGAGTTTTCCATGACAGAGTATCAGATGCCTCATTCCATAAAGCCACTTAGTCCCAGCACAGGAACACAGAAACAGATGAACCTGTGCCCCTGAGGAGGGGACCCCCAGCAAAGGAATCCCATAGCTTTTATACCCTACATTCTCCCCAGAAGTCTTTTTCTTCCTTCCAAGTCCTTGTTTCCTCCTCCATCTCTGTGTTCATCCACTTTGCTGGCTTCACCAGTCTTCATCTGTTTTGGTATCCGAAGGGTCAGCAATTCCTGGCTCCTGCTGTGTCACCCATTGTCTCTTCCTCTGGCTGGAGTCACCAGTCTTTCATACGCTTTGTTATCCTAAAGGCTGGCACTTCATGGCCTCTTGTCAGCCTTCTGAATGGATCTATGAGCTCAGTCTGCATTTCAATCTGCATCTTAGTCTGCATCTGAATTCGCAAGTTGAGCTACCTGGACCAGAAGTATTCCTCACCAATGTGAGGAATTTGATAGCTGTGTGTAGTAACTCACAGAAATAATGCAATCTGATTGTAATCCTGCTTTCTTGTAGTTTTTCTCTTCTTTTCTTGTATTTTTTGAAGGAGAGAGGATAGCTCTCTTTCACTTGCATTATTGCATATAGCCTGCATTATAGTTTTAACAGATTTTAAACTTTTAGAGGCTGAGTGTGTAGAGAAGAAATCTTGCCCAATATAATTCAGTGGTACAATTTCCCTTGACATTTATGTAGGAGTTTGTTTAATATCTATATGTAAGTAACCAAGGACTTTATAAGTCATTAAAAGTTGGAGTCCAGAGATCCACATTTGAAATATTGATCCTTCTGATTCAAATCCATGTTGTCTGCACTGGTTTTAAAAAAAAAGGAGAGGCTGTGAATCTAGATAAATGATACAAATTAATTTTCTCTGTTTAAAGATTTAGCTCAGTGTTTTACTATATCTGCAGTTGATTTCACCTATTGCATTGTTATAAACCTAAAGGCTCTCACTTCCAGGATCTTCCCTCTTGCTAAAGAATGAGGGATATGGGGAATTTGACTTAGTCCTTCATGCCCAAATGCAAAGACATTTTTTGTCCAGATACTACTTTGAAATAGATCCATGTAACCTTCACTAACCTTCATCTAACTCACAACAAAACACTCTATTTTATACATAATCTTCTACCTGCCTTTCAGAAGCCTTGTATTCAGACTAGCTTTTTTAGGAGAAACACTAGTCTGGTGTCTCCTCTCCTTCTAGCTCTTCTGTAGCTGCCTGAATGACAGCTAAATTCTTCCTTCTGCTTATAAATAAGCCTTCTGCTTATTGCATCTACAATGTGCAATAAGTCTTCACTCTGCAAGTCTGAAAGGCAAAACTAAGCTGGTGGCAGCCCAGTCTGCCCAGCTGGCATCTCATGGTGTGGAACTGCCCCTTGCCATTTCCTCTTTGCTTACTTCCCCTTTGAAGCCTGAGGGACTAGGACGTTTTCCTTCCACAAAACACCTAGAAGCCTCTGCTTTCATATGATCAGATGTGACCAAAATTTAACTGTTCTTATCATTTGCATCAGCAATGAGCAACTAAACCTGCAGTGGGCTCGTATCCCATGAGAATTCTGCCCAGGATGCTCCAGCACTTTGGTGGTGCAGTGTGCCTGTGTATTTTTGTCTGGGTCACAGGGGACAGATTTGTATTGACTATGTGTGGCCACCCAGGACAGATATATATTATTCCAAAGTGATCTCAGGGGACAGCTAGACATTGCTCACACACCTGATTGCATGACAAAGGCAAGCCTGAAGTCTGTGGCACTCAGGTGTGTGCATAAGGCTGCGCTGCTTTGTCCCTGTGGGAAAATTTGACATCACTGCTGTAAAATAATAGAGATCGATCTACTGAACCCCTCTTATGCTCTGAATTTCTTTTGCAGCATCCTCTCACAATGATAATGTTATTCAACGGAGATCTCTACAGCCTCTTGAATTTCCTCAGCTTTGCCAGGTGGCTTTTTATTGGACTAGTAGTTGCTGGGTTGATTTATCTCAGATATAAACGTCCTGATATGCCTCGTCCTTTCAAGGTAACATCTGCTCTCTACTATTTTACATGAATCCTCCTTCCTTTCTATCCTGTAGTCAGATAGCAAAGGAGCATTTTCTGATGTAACTCTTTTTCAGGAAAAACAGATTTAAGAGAAAACAGTGTTTTGCAGTGAAGACAGTTTTCCTGCAAGGTCCCCAGTGCTACCCCAGCTGTGTTCCATTCTGGAAAAGAATTTTTGCCTCTTCCCTGTGCTTGGGGGGCAGAGACTGAAGCTGCTGTGCTGAGATGAAGGTGTTTGCTCAGTTTTGCCTGTCTGTTGTGTTCAGGCTGTGTGATGTGAACTGTGTGATGTGTGGAAATACCTTGAGCCCTCTGCAGTCACAAAGAGTTCAGACTGCAAATATTGGGGTTACGTGTGCCAACCTAATTTTCAGCCAGTCTTTTTATTCTATTTAATGTCTCTTTTGATGAAGGTAGGGATAATTTTACCACCAAAAAGTCATGTCAAGCATTAGAATTTATGAGAGAGAGCATTTATGTCTGTTGGGGATTAGGTGTCTTTCTTTTAGTTCTGGCTCACCTGTGGAATTTTTACCCATTAGTTGCTGGGAAACCCTGACTGTTGGTACTTGGTGGTCTTACGATCCACAAGGTGGGATTCATGGTGTGGTTCTTTTATTGGATCTTAGAGTACAAAAGCTTATCAGCAAACAAAGGACTTAAACAGTAAAACACATTTTATTGAGTGATCATAGCACTAATATGTGATAGAGGGAAAAGAGGAAAAAGCAAAGCATAAGAAAAAGAGAGTAAGGGGATTATAGCTACCAGTGTTGAAGTCCACTCAGCCGTCCAATGATGCAGAGTCTTCTGTCTGTTGGGGAGATCTCAAAGGAAGGTAAATTTGGGGTGTAATTTTATAGTCTTTTACAAAGCAAGAGTCACAGGGCCAAAAACAGAGGAGGTTGATGATCATTGTGATGAATTCCATTGTGCAGGGGGCAGGTGTAGGGTACAGAGCAAACCACGTCTTGCAAGCCTCTGCTTACCAGTAGAAACGAGGGCAATGTGTTGTGGAAACCCATTGTGCAGGGTACCACACAAAAGCCTCTACTCACCAGCAGGAACGAGGGCAGTGTACGGTGCAACCACTTGCAAGCAGTCACTTAGCAAACATCTACCTTAGCTAGGCCCAAACCCCTAAACCAAGATCCTTGTGATATTCAGGGTCTCAGTCTCTGTCCTTGAGACAGTTGTGAGACAGATGAGAGAATCTTCGGACCATCTCTTACAGGTGGGTATTTGAGAAACATAAAGTTGAGCCCAGGGGAAAAGGGGGGAAGGAAAAGAGGAGGGCAGGGACAGTTTGGTGGGCTTCTTCAGCTTCAGAGGACACTTCACTGAGATCTGTTGCTGTGGAGGGAAGGGAATTTCGCCATCACCCAGACGGAGATGCTGCTTCTTCTCCTCCTTCTTCCCTCTTCCTTGCTGGGCCTCGCATCCCCTGTCCTGCCAGAATGTGTGGCAGTGCCAGCCACCGCCGTGGAGCTGCTGATACAACTCAGCCACCTGCCCAGGATCTCAGCTCATTACTGCTTTTCCAGCTGGCTGTTCCTCAGAGCCCTGCAGGAACACCAGGACTGCCCACCTGAGGTAGTTTGTGAAGCAAAGCTTCTCCTCCATCCCTTCCCGTCTCAGGCAAGAAGGCTGTCACGGGGTCCCTGGTTCTGTTTTTTTAACGCTGTAGTTATTACTGTTTGTGTGCCTTGTTATACATACTAGTAAAGAACTGTTATTCCTATCCCCAGATCTCTGCCTGAGAACACCTTGATTTCAAAATTTTGGTGCCCAACAGTGGGGCCTGAGGGCACTGAGAAAAAAAGGTCAAAAAAGGAATAAAAATTCTTAAATAACCTAACTTTTGTGTGCTGGATTTAGAAACCTCGTTAAGTAGAACCATGTGGTCCAGCTTACCCAGGTTCAGGTGGCATGTGGTCACGGCTATATTTCTCCCATTTGCTCCACCTTACCTAAATATGGGTCCTATAACTAAGGCTTGTGTGGCTGTTATTCAGTTCGTTTTGTGGGTTGACAAGGTGAGGAATTTGTGGATGTTTAATTTCCTCTGGAAGGCGAGCTCATGGATTCAGAGCTATCACACACTAACTGGATGGTTTTGGGGTTGCTTTAATAATGGCACCTACTGGGAGAAAATGACACCTGCGGAAATTTTCTCCCAACCTTTCACCCAGTTCCTTGAGCTCACCCCACCAGTTTTCAAAGGGTTAAAATCTTCTCTAGGTGCTAATGACACCATACACTGGCTGGTGTTGCTGATAGGCCTGTTCTACTTAGCATTCAGAGATAAGGGGAGTTTGACTGGAATAAGCACCCTGACACCTACCCCAGAGAATAGGGGTGCTGCCTCAGAGCCTGACACCGCCCCAGAGCCCACCTCGGAAATGAACCACCCAGAGTGGGTGGGGGTTCTGGTGAGGGAGATACGTGAGATGGGCCAAATGCTAAAGGAGTGTGCTTCCTCAGCTGTTGGAAGACCCTCCCCCTGCCTCGAAGAGGGAGAGTCTGATGGTACAGTAGTGGAACCCACAGACATTACAACAATCCAGGTTCCAGCTGAACCACAAGGGCAGTCACTGCCAGCGGCAGTTGTGCCTGTGGTAACAAGGAAGTCTAAGATGAAATCACGGCACTCTGTTGATAAGGATAAGAAAGGAGGGCCCTCACAACCCACAGGGGAGCCGAGGTTGAGATCATCACCGAATCCTTGATGCATGAGAGCCTCTGTAATCTGCCAAAAGACATTGTGAGCTGGGGGCATGAGGCTTATGTGATCTGGTTACTTTGGGTCTGGGACCTTATGGGTATAGGCATGCAACTGGATGGTGGTGAGGCAAAGAATGTGGGACCCTTGACCCAGGACTCAGGTGTGAATCAGGTATTCGTAAGGGAGCCAGGGCCCCTTTCCCTCTGGGAGCAGCTTTTAATGAGTGTAAGAGAGAAGTTTGTCCACAGAGAGAGAATGGAAGAGCACCATCATGGAAAGAGCTGGAAAACCGTTGAGGAAGGGATCAAACAGCTGAGAGAAGTGGTGGTATTGGAGGTCCTTTTTGGGAGGAGTGGACAGCATGATAATGACCCCAACAAAGTCAGGTGCACTGGGCAGATGTTGTGGAATCTAGCAAGTCTAGGGCCACGTGAATACACCACCTTCATTGCAATGATTAATGCTGATAACAACCGAGAGACAGTGTGTTCTGTCACCAACAAGCTTAGAAGTTACAAGAGTATGGTCCATGGCCTGCTGCAAGCTCAGGTCTCTGCTGTGATTCAAAGAAGAAATGAAGGAAATTAAGGAAATGAGGGAAGAGGTGTGGAAGAGCAGTTCCCATATGGCACCAGGGCAAGTTGCAAGCCCCAAACTCCAAGCCAAACATCCCCCAGCTAGAGAGAGAGGGTACACCCCACAAGCTGAGCTGTCGTTCTTTCTGCATGACCATAGGGAAGACATGGGAAAGTGGGATAGGAAGCCCACTTCTGCCCTGGCAACACGGGTGCGTCAATTCAGAGAAGGAACCATCAACAAAAATAAGTTCCACTAAAGTGAAGGTAGCCTCAATCTCCCATGACCAAACTGCCAGATATTACAGAAAAGAGGATGATCCCCTTGAAGGAACCTCTAGCATGTATGCCCAGGGAGGAGAGGATAATCAGTGCTAGAGGGGCCCTGCCTCTAACCAGGAAAACCAGGTCTTTTAGACAGTATGGATCCTATGGCCTAGCACATCAGAACCACAAAAATACAAAGATTTAGTTGATACTGGTGCACAGTGTACCCTAATGCTATCAGGACATGTAGGGGCAGAACCTGTCTCCATTGCTGGGGTGACGGGGAGATCGCAGCAATTGATTCTGTTAGAAGATGAGGTGAGCCTGACTGGGAAGGAGTGGCAGAAACATCCCATTGTGACTGGTCCAGAGGCCCCGTGTATTCTGGGCATAGACTTCCTTCAGAATGGCTATTACAAAAACCCAAAGAGACTCAGGTGGGCTTTTGGAATAGCTGCTGTAGAAGCAGAGGACATTAAGTAATGGAATAGCTTGCCTGCACTATCAGAGAACCCATCTGCAGTAAGACTTCTGGAAGTGGAAGAACAGCAAGTACCAATTGCCACCTCAACGGTGCACCACTGGCAGTATTGGACAAATCAAGATGCTGTGATCCCCATTCACAAGATAATCTGTGAGCTGGGGAGCCAAGGGATGATCTGCAAAAGCCATTCACCCTTCAACAGCCCCATTTGGCCTGTGCGAAAGTCTGACAGAGAATGGAGATTGACTGTGGATCGTGCATTGAATGAAGTGACTCCACCGCTGAGCACTGCTGTGCTGGACATGCTGGAATCCAAGGCAGCAAAGTGGTACACCACTGTTGACATTGCTAATGCGTTTTTCTCCATTCCTCTGGCAGCAGAATGCAGGCCTCAGTTTGCCTTCATGTGGAGGGGAGTGCAGAACACCTGGAACCGACTGCCCCAGGGGTGGAAGCACAGCCCCACCATCTGCCATGGACTGATCCAGGCTGCACTGGAAAAGGGTGAGGCTGCAGAACATCTGCAGTACATTGATGACATCGTGTGAGGGAACACAGCAGTGGAAGTATTTGAGAAAGGATCATCCAGATTCTGCTGGAAGCTGGCTTCGCCATCAAGAACAAAGTCAAAGGACCTGCTCGAGAGATCCAGTTCCTGGGGGTAAAATGACAAGACAGACGACATCAGATTCCCACCGAAGTCATTAATAAGATCACAGTGATGTCTCCATCAACCAGCAATAAGGAAATGCAAGCTTTCCTAGGTGCCATAAGTTTTTGGAAGATGCACATTCCTGAGTACAGTCAGATTGTGAGCTCTCTCTACCTGGTTACCTGAAAAAAGAATGATTTCCACTGGGGCCCTGAACA